TGCGAATGCACTGCGCCGTTCCACTTCAATACCAAGTCGTTGATTACAGCAAGGAAACGAGATAATCTGATAAGAACTGCAACGATTCATATTATCATTTAATCACCCACGCCAACACCATGATAAACGATGCATCGGAGATAGACATCCGCTGATAATTTCATTACCTGTGGTAAATAAAGGTTCCGGAGCCTAGGAAACACCGAGTGCTTCATCAATCTGAAGAATACCGTCAAAACAACGCCATACATTTTAAACGTAATGAATTACGCGCCCTTCAGCACCTGGAGGTATTCGCCTACATGAACGTCCCATTTACCGGGCTGCCGTTGATAATCAAGAGTTATTGAGGCAGTTGAAAATCCAGTGACCAGAATACTATAGTCTAGCAGTGCACATACTCAAGCAAACTAGCGCTTGGATTCCTCTCCCAGTACTTTATTTATATTTTGATAATATGACACAAGAAAAAGATGTATAGCTACTAAGTCAAACATTTAAGTTCACGCACGTAACAAGCGAATCTAACATCTTTACTCACACGCTCATTTCAATTTACGCACGTAGTTATCATCGCTTGTAATTCTAGACGTTGTAAACCTCGCACCTTCAATAACGATGCAGTGAACCACGCATGATAATTTACCTTTGAATGTATCTTCTACGCGTACATAGTGAATCTCACACTTTCACCCTAATACCACCTGTTGATTTCAACGCAATGTACCATTTGTGTTATGTAAAACTGACGCTCCTTCATTTATTTACGTAACATATGGTATAATGTTTTTTGTTAGAAAAGGTTACTACTTCAATCTAAAAATAATATTTGCAGTATTTTATACAAATAATTGCATTACCATAAAGAAAGTTGATGCACATACTGTGTTTATAGCACCATATGTCATGTAGACAATAACACATTCATGGCTACCATACAGTTTGCTGGAGGGACGTTTATAAACAGACGTTCGTTTCCTTTTTATAAATATATATCACCAGAGACTAAAGCAAATTCACATATTCCGTGTGTTCCCTCCAGGCTAAGTTGAAGTGGATTGAGATAATGATTTAATATTTATTTAGTTGTGTGAAAATGTACAGTTGTAAATATTTGTAATAAATCATTAATATACACGATATAACTGATGACAATATGTAAATGCAAAAATGTATATTCCCATTGAATATTTCATTCACCATATGCATTCATGTGCTAGACATAATTTTAGACACGTAGTTCAACAGCATATAGGGTAAATATAAAACCATACCAGAAATGTCCCCTCTAATATAAATTTGTAAATTTTAACGACACATCGAGAAATGTGAATTCTCTTTTCAACCAGCATATAGATCTATATTGCGACAAACGCAAAAGTGTTCACATTAGTCGTAAATTAAGTGACTCTCGGCGTTACTTGGGTGTACCAAACCAGTTAATTTAATATACACAGATCGATTCGATTGAATATTTGAATAAAGCAATATTCAATCAATTGATTGTTTTAACACAAAAAAGTATAGCTGAAAATAGTAAACAAGTAGACAAATTAGCCAATCCCTACAAAGCATTTGTGAGCAAAATTTCCAGAGCCAAATTAGAAATTATCCAAGAATTAGTCATCAGCTCAGTCGCACCAAGGTAGCGACAGAACAAAAAATTCAAGGTAATATACATGTTTTGTACTCTGCAATATCTTCACAGGGTGAAATTGTATTTTTCTTATTTTGTGTAGATGTTAAAACATTTGTTCGTTCAAATCTGTTCAGTCTCCATAATTGAATAATTTACAATCCGCTGACAGACCCACGATACATCAGTGTTGAATGATGAGAACTAATTATCACCACATCACACCATTTTACCGGGCCATTGTTAAATATATAAAACACACAAATAAAATGAAAACACTTTATTTTATGAATTAATTACCGTTTACCAAAATAAAAGTACAAAATAACTGAATGCATTATGAATGCATAAACAGAATGTAATAGGTGTAACAATCAGGTAAAAATATACATATGCATGAAATTCAAGGGGAGCAAAAAACAAATGTATGACATTCACACTATTTGGAAAACCTGCCAAATATACATGAACAATTCGTTACAGAAAACAATGAATTATGAAAAAAAATTATGGAATTAAGGGAATGTTACTCATTCTAGAAATGAAGTAATATGCACCAAAAGCATCGTCTAGTATCAACAAAAATTAAATGTATTAAATGACTTTTCCGAAATCGTAATATATGTTCAGAAATCGAACAGGATATGCTATTCATGTTTTTTTGTATCCAAACTGAATTTCATTTGTCCAGGCTCATGTAGAGAGATACAAAACACGAAATGAATCATCATGGACATGTATCACAACATGTATAATGTTTGTATCAAATTTAAAATCGAAAAATCGTGTCCAAGATACCACATTTTCGAAAAAAAACAAGATGGATCTTTGATCTGATTATGAATAAACTGACACAAACATGTATTTCTATCTGCATAATCTATGTGTCAAATATGATTGAAAATGGTCCCCAATATATAGTAGTATAATCAACAAGCCATGCATGGCACAGTCCCCGATGGTTATCAAATTTAAGATATATAGTTTTGTTTATAGTAATATAGTTGGAATATAACCATGTCAGGAATATGATTTTTTTAGCATTAAAATGATTGACATTTGTATCTGATCGTCAAACAAGTACTTGTCCATATTGAGAGATATTGCTCTGGAACAGCATTCAAAATTTTGAATACATGTATATATATAAAATGATGTATAACGAATATATAAAATTTGAATATAATCAGTCAAAGAATTTAAGAGATATGGATCTAGAACCCCAATCATTAAAGCAAAATGGCCGTCAGTCAGCCATTTTGAATCCAATCTGAAAAATAAAATGCCGTGCATCAGGAACCCGTCTAATGTATGTACCAAGTTTTAACGAAATCCACCCATAAATGCCAGAAATGCTTGATATATGATGATTTTTTAGCACAAAAATGACCACCATTCGGGCATTTTGAATAGGATAGTCAAACCAATATATCTCTTTATCTATGACATGATGTATAATGAATATTTAAAATTTGAATATAATCAGTCAAAACAAGTCGGAGATATGGGTCTAGAAGCCCATTCATTAAAACAAAATGGCCGCCAGACAGCCATTTTGAATCCGATCTGAAAAATAAATGATGTGCATCAGGAACCTGTAATGTCTAACATATGTACCAAGTTTGAACGAAATCCATTCATAAATGCAAGAAATGCTTGATATTTGATGATTTTTTTAGCACAAAATAGGCCACCATTTGGCCATTTTGAATAAGATCGTCAAACCAATATATCTGTCTATCTATGACATCATGCATAATGAATATTTAAAATTTGAATATAATCAGTTAGAGATATGGTACAAGAGCCACATTCATTAAAACAAATTGGCCGCCAGTCGGCCTTTTTGAATCTTATCTGAAAAACAAAATTATTTGCATCAAGGTCCCATAACATCTAATGTATATACCAGGTTTGAACAAAATCCATCTGTAAGCAGCCGAGAAATGCTTGATTTATAGGATTTTTTAGCAGAAAAATGGCCGCCATCTTGAATCAGATCTTGAAACAAAATGATGTGCATCAAGGTCTTATAATGTCTAATGTATATATATGGATTTGAACAAAATCCATCTGTAAACAGCCGAGAAATGCTTGATTTTGATGATTTTTAGCACAAAATGGCCGCCATTCGGCCATCTTGAATCAGATCGTGAAACAAATTGTGCATATGTATAATATCATGTATAATGTATGTGTGAAGTTTGATTGTGATTGGTCCAGGCATTTCTAACATACAGGTCCGGACGCACGCACTGCGTCTAAACGTGGACTAAAAAGCAAGATGACCACCAGTCAGCCATCTTTTATTTGATTGACAACAAATTGTCATAAACATGTAATCAAAAATGTCCAAATTTGAACAAAATTGACAAAGCATACATAAGATACCACATTTTCAAAAATCAAAATAGCTACCAGTCGGCCATCTTAGATTAAATCAGTAAACCGCTGCATGTTCATATGTCCCAGATAAAGTACTAGGCATCTGCAAAGAATGAACAGATTTGGTCAACAGGGTTCTGAACGGTAGGAGACCGAAATACGAGTCCCTGTTTCAAATTTTGATGAGAAAATGAGATGAAATGCTCAGTCTACTACACAAATAAATGACAAGATCACCTCGTGTTGTTATTTCTGTGACTGTAACCGCCATGTTGAATCGTATGGGATTCGACAAAATCTTCATTGCAAGCAAGGTTCCCGAAATCAATACATTCGTCAATAAGTTCCAAATTAGTTGGACAACAATTGGTATTCAAAATGTATTTTCACAAAGCGTTTCCGGGGTCAAGTATGTTCTGAATATGCGTAGGGCTACACAACTCACCATGATGATGATGATTCATTGCCATCAAAAATATGTGTTTGACTGTCTCTTTGTTATATCAATAGATATATTTTCGAGCTACAAAATCGACAGTTCCAATTAAATGTAGTTTTAGTAATATAATTCTTTCAACCCCGAAAAAAAATCATTAATTTTGAAAAACATATGCCAAGTTAGTGCATTGTGTGAAAAAACATGAACTGCGCATATGCAGAAGGAAAAGTAGCAGTCATTCATCGGCGAATCACAGAGAGGTGTGCAAAGAATGCTGGGAATACAAAAAACAGCATGGAAATCCCCTATACCATTCCTCAAAATTTCGAGAATAAAACAAAGAAAGAAAGTTTCAAATCATTTGCATATTTATCATGTGTACCAACAAATATGATGGTGTGTATGTTTTTTTTATTTCAATCATCTAGTACTTAGATATAGCTGGAACACTAATTTACTAATGATAATCCAAGCAAATTTGGAAGTGAAGCATAATCCCAATTATCTACAGGAGCAATGTTTTAGTGCCTTGATCTGCAGCTGTCTAAGCTGTCAGATGACAACCGTGTTGTCACACACTCAGATAAATTAAAAATTGATTAGCCTTCAAACCTTCTGATGATATCGACATTTGACTGTAGTATATCTCCAGCCTGACGTCAGTAGTTATGACTGGTGACATATAATTATCCACTGATTCACGTTGTCTTTGGTTTGAAAAAAGCTTTTAAGCCCACTTGTCTCTTCTTGTCCCTTTCATTGGTCACAGGCCCATCAGCTTTCCTCTTTATGGAACCCTTGAAAAGTAAATACAGAAACAGATTGAAAATACGTTAGAGCTACCTACTGATGAATATAATATTTTGAGAGCGGCAGTTGGTAATCATTGTCTTGGTATTAATGCAAAATAAATGTTAGTGGTTACTTTGAATGATTGTCAACGACTATAATTACAAACTACTTTAACTTTAAGTTCTGCTCGACTCAAATTTAATCAATGTCTTTGTTTTTTATAGACATATACAGTGTGTGAAAGCGTCCCCTATGTTACAGCTTTCAAAATAGCAATACATGTGTACACCCACTTGGCACCGGAAAATCTAATGCATCTGTTAATTATTGAACTATAAATAAGCTCAGCTCAATATCAATTTAATCAATGCCTTTGGATATTGCAAGTTGCCACACTCGCACGGGATCAATCCTCGCCCAGTGGGACGACAGAGAGCAAGGTAAATATTCAGCCGCTACAGAGTGGCTGGTAATCTCTCAAATTCAAATACTATAATCTGGAAACTATAACAAGTACTTTATCTAAGATATGGTAAATGGGTTCTGTCACATTCCTTTAGGGATTCCATCCAATATGTTGGTAATTAGGTTATTTCGGAGTTCAAATGAGCAAGTATAGGCCCCAGTTATAGATGTTATAGTACAACATACACTAGCCATCACACTTCAATTACATGTTGTAATTATCAGAGTTTCATTAGTGAAAGTGTACGGTGTAAAGTCAAGTGTTCTTTCTTTAAATTTCCATTCAATGATTGAAGTATCCAATTTGAGCTTACGATGACATTTTAATGCAACATATGCTTATACACTTGGGAACAGGTTCATGGAATATAAGAGGAGAGATCACTTTAATTTATATGCTACGTCTTATTGAAGTGTAGAGTCCTGCTTGTGACACCATCAGATAAATTGGTGAAAAGTGTATTGACATTACACGCACTAAGCATTAAATGCGTGTATTGAAGATGTCAAATATATAGATATCATGACGCTAGCTTCAGAAAATATCAAATTATAATCTCATAAAATTTCAATTCAATGATTGCCACACCTGGAATGGTGATAATTTTATATCATCAATATAAACCACGACCTTTGATATGGAGGTTGAGTAAGGTCATACTTTATTTAACCCTCTGTCTGAAAATCTAAAATGCAGGGGCTAAGTTAAGCCTCACAGATACATAACCATAATTACAGGATATAAAGCGAACTGCGTCAGTTGTTAATACATTATTAACGCGGATGATGGTAGCAAGGTCTGGCTGTATCCATTATCTTCTACACTGTAATGTGTATTAAGAACATTCGCTTGCTTTCAAAAATATACTTCATGTATTATACTGAAATAAAAATCACTGACATACCCATTCATTAATCTAAACTCAATAGTTGTATTTCTACGTTCATTCTAAGTTTAATGAACTTATAATAAGAGTATATATGGGACATCCACGCACATACAAAGGACAATGTGTACTGTAGTAGAAAAATGGATGTGGTACACAAGGAGAAAGGATCAGTCTAAGGGCATTCACAATAATTAATGATAATTAATGATATGTGGACCTCAAGGATAAGACCAAGAAGTGATATCAGAGTGATCATATCAAAGAAGATAGTCAACAATATCAAATAATGTTGTAAAAATCACCACTGAATATGTATTATGGATGGTATTTTGAAAGTATTTGTATAGTATACACTCTACATTTCTACATGTTTCATTCAAATGAGACTAAGACTCACAATGGAAGCAATAAATTGAAATGACCAGATTTGATAATATACAATGGTGCGAGTCATCACTGAGCCAAATACCGTGCATCCAAGAGTTGGAATGCTCTAATTTAAGCATGCAGGTTTATATAATCAAAATCTCATCAAATAATTTATGTTGATTTCAATTCTGTTTATATTAAACCTACTACAACATATTCTAGATTATCCATGTTATTATTTAAATAAAATGATAAATCAAGGTAAACAATTTTACTTCAACAATGAAACTTTTTTTGTGTGACGACAATCTTATTTAATCTCTCACAGAATAGTAAAACATGCCTAGCATAATGCGACGAGTAATAGATCAGAATACACGTTACGTGCAATGAGTACGTACAACTCCGTGAGTTAACATGAGAGGTGACTTTAATTGCATCAATTGTGAGCCACCGCATGCAATAATTCATTGACTAAAACGAAAACTGAGGAGATGCATTTGTGAAATTATCATTATATAATCATCCAACTAATATGTAATTAATAAATAATGTGACAGAACATTTGTCAATACATATTAAATATGCATTATTATATAACATTTGTTCACTCCGCGCAGCATCAACAAAAATTATACATTGAACTGTCGTGGTCGGCAAACTAAGCAGTCCAAAATAAAAAGAGATGAGAACGTGGTGTATCATCAGAGGAAACGTAAACCTGTTGGTTTCATGTTTTAATCGTGTCCTCATTGCACATAGCAAATGACATTATTGCCATAGTGGGTAGCAGAATACCACGCCACGACTAGGATCTACCCTAATTTCGGTCTCATAGAAGATGTGGGTTTGCCCTGACTATCTTCCAAATTAAGTATGTATGTATGAATGAACGAACGAACGAATGAATGAATATGAATTGTCTTAGTCGATTTCATTTTAATGTCATGTTTCCATAAATCAATGTTTACTTAATTGTTCTGTCACTCATAAAGCGACATCAGAATTTACATAATGCACATTTATGTTGTCTACATCTAACAGGGTCAATACATATATGCAAATAATAATGAGAAATAGCTTTTTACAGAGATGTAATTGTTTCTGCATGTCACATGAGACCACAAATCAATCAGCTCAATAGTCTCCAGCACTTGTCTCAGGGGAGATTACTTGGTACGTAGTACGATCTTGCGTAAAATACAAATGTGTGGTTAAATCATCCAATCAACTCCACTAAAGGTTAAAATGGATACTACATCATGTCATTTTGATATAAAAAAGCAATCATAATATTGAAAATGTTTGATCAATTTCTTTGTAATATTCGATCATCATAAATGAACTTAATAAATGAATATCAAAATAAATAATTGAAAACATATAGTTATATGCAAAGACTAATAATATACATTACTAATCATATCTTGTTTTGATTTTATAGTTAAAAGTTTTTTAGACTCGAGTGGACGTTAGTGGAACACGATTTGTGCCTGGCACATCTACAGTGCATATTATGACATTTAATTAACTGTAGAACGTTCTTCAATTAAATTTAATGAGAAAATGAATAAGTGCATGGACGTATACACGAATCTGAATTAATAAATCGGCCACTCCATGTATTGTCTTCACGCTGTATTAAATTGAGAAAAAAACAGCAGAAAGAATTAATAATAAAAACGGCAGCTGTTACCTACAAGTAGATCTCAAAACAAATTAATTGACTTCCTCTGGGTGGATTATTTCTACTATGCTGACCTGTGACTGCAATAAAATGTAGGATTTGCACAAATCTATGGAGATTTACACGACACAGGAATGACATATCATTGGAAACACAAGAATCTATTGAAGCATATTACACTGTCATCATAACGTAAATCACCATTCGACAGCGTATACGGGACACAGGGGGGAAATGAAGGCTTCATTAAATTGCAGCCAAGTGGGGTAAGGGTAAGATCATAAATCGAATATCACGACAAGTTTCTTTATCCAAGTTATGGATATGAAACTCTCCTAGATAGAGCCATCGCTATGCCCGTTATCAGTCATAATTCATTTATATGATATGTTAAAAATTAATTTCATGATTCTGTATTGCAGTTTTATTCACAGCGCGGGTGCATTTATAAAATTATATGGTATTATCAAACTTTTCACTATTTCTTTTTATAAATAAACATATAATGTATGTACGATCAGACATAAATGACCTTGCTTGCATTCACTGACCATCATGTTACTGCCGAGAAGCACAAATAATCTCGGCTAGCTTGAGTTGAGATTCTAACAAGTGCAACAACGCCAGGGCTGTTTTTCAACTAATATCCCATGTACTTGTAAGATGAACACATACCCAAGCCAGGCCGGAGTCAAATAGAGAGCACATGTTCCATTCAAAATTAAGACTGATGAAATCTATTATGGTACAAATGGATGAATAAATTTAATCGAGTATTCGTCACATTACATACATACTAATTTAGAAATATTATCTTCATCACAATTTTCATTATTACAAAGCACAGTAGTGCTATAACATATGAATAATCTGTCAATAATTGTGAATCATTATATATCCACTGGGTTTTAATTTTGTCGAAATATGTTTAATGTATTCTATGTGGACATTACAATACAAATGATTGTTTCACTTGCAAACCTACCTTGCGTGCTCAAAATACGATAAACTAGTTAAACCGGTGAAGCACAATGCTTTTAACACTGTATTGTAATTCATTGTGTTTTCAGTGAACATCTACGCTTACTCAAAATGCAAATACACCAAGTTCGTATATACATATAGTAATTCACTTATAACTATTTTTGGAAGGCCTCAATTTAACTTTTTTTCCCCGACTCTGAATTTAAAATGGTGAGAGGGATATATTGAATTTAAAATGGTGAGAGGGATATATTGATTATATATATATATATATATATATATATATATCCATCTCACTGATATGTACTTCGTGGCGTGCTGTTTGTTATATCGCACGACATGGTTTGGGGTTTGTAATTTCTATTATAATTTACGTTTACGGAGTGGATACCATGTTATATTCTACATTCAAATGAGAGAACCACGAGAGAGTCAATATTTTTAGAAGTCAAGCCTGGGACACAGATTAGTTTTAACTGAATTATTCTATATGTAACAGTTTTCAATAGGGAACACATTGTGCTGATATATTTACATGCGAGTTCAACAAAGGATAATCAGATTTTGACATCGCTATGCCTATCATAGAACAGAGTGACAGTGCAAAATA